CGTTTATTTTTCCGTGTCTGTTCTGCCTCTTTGACTCGCCATGTGCGTCAGTGACCCGCCGCCCACAGAAGGCCTTCTCTTTCGTAATATAGCACCTACGCCCAAACGACCTGGTTCAAGGCCGAGGGAATGATTTGCTTTTTTTTCCTTTCTTTTTTTGCGTGTTAACCTGCTTGAGTCGTGATTTTGGCACCGTTATTTCTCTCGCTCTGTCTCTGTTCTTCCGTCTCGTCTGTCTGTGAGGCACCCACCTTCCTCCCTTCCCAACCTCCCCTGCAACCCTCTGTCTCTCTCCTCTTTTTCTTTCTCTTTCTCTATTTCTCCCCTTCTCTCTCCCTCTCGCTCTCCCTCTCGCTCTCCCTCTCGCTCTCCCTCTCGCTCTCCCTCTCGCTCTCCCTCTCGCTCTCCCTCTCGCTCTCCCTCTCGCTCTCCCTCTCGCTCTCCCTCTCGCTCTCCCTCTCGCTCTCCCTCTCGCTCTCCCTCTCGCTCTCCCTCTCGCTCTCCCTCTCGCTCTCCCTCTCGCTCTCCCTCTCGCTCTCCCTCTCGCTCTCCCTCTCGCTCTCCCTCTCGCTCTCCCTCTCGCTCTCCCTCTCGCTCTCCCTCTCGCTCTCCCTCTCGCTCTCCCTCTCTCTCTCTCTCTCTCTCTCTCTCTCTCTCTCTCTCTCTCTCTCTCTCTCTCTCTCTCTCTCTCTCTCTCTCTCTCTCTCTCTCTCTCTCTCTCTCTCTCATGTTCCAGCATCCCGCCCTCCTCTCGCCAAGTCAGCGGGGATTAGTTGCGAGCGTCAGTCATATACAGATCAGCGCGTGTGACGTCATCCGTGATCGTTTGTGCTGCGGTATTTGGATCTTCCGTTGTTTTTTTTCTTCAATCAGTAGTAATTTTGTTGCGATTCGGTGTTTCATAATTGTCGTTGTCGTCATTGCCATTGCCAGAATGTTCCTCATCATCACTATCATCATTATTATTTATCATTATCACCAATATTGATTAGTATTAACACAATCATTATTTTCTTAATCATTATTGTTGTTATTAGCCAGGATATAGTTACCATTATACCATTCATCAATTTGCCATTAGCATCATTATTACTCTTTTTATCTCATTAGCGGCAGTGGTGTTGATCGTAATAGTAGTAGTAGCAGTATTGAGATATTAGCAACAGTAGTGATAATTGTTATTTTAGTGACAGTTTCATTATTATTAGAATCTATTGTTCTCTAAGCCGGACGTACGATTTGATAGGGAAGGGAACAGCCTTGTTAAATGCGCTGATCTGTCACAACAAAGGGAATGCATTCGTGTTTGTTTTGGCGGAGGGTGAATTGTATTGTTAACCGGGATATTGATGTCTTATCTGGTGTGAATGTTTTTAATATCTATATATATCTATCTCTATCTACCTATCTCTTTCTGTATCTCTCTATCTCTCTCTCTTTCTATCTCTATCTCTATCTATCTGTCTCTCTCTCCCTCTGTGTATCTCTTTACCCATTTCGATGCGAGTTCATCCTCCGTCTCACTCTGAATCGCTTCTCTGACCCCTTCATTGAAAACTCCTACAAATCGCTCTTTTATAAACCTTTTGACCAAACTTTGAAATTTTCTAACAAACGGAAGAAAAAGAGAAAAGAGTTTGAGGGACGAGTCGGCGATCTCCACCGGTATTTTCCAGTAACCGAGCTTCGTTGAATTCGGCTTCCCATGGCGCGTACTGTACAAACGGACCAGATCTGTTTAGCGGTGACGAGCGGCGAATTGTGCGCTATTGTCATGCGTGGATCACTTCCGCGTGAACTCTGCCGCGCGTGTTGCAGTCTCCTCTTTATTTTTTCCCCCCTGCCTTGTCCCTTTCATTGGTGTTCTGTTCGTATGTTCCTTGTTCCTTCTTTTCTTGGTGTTATGCTCATTCCCTTTCTTCGTGTTATGCTCCTTCCCTTCCCTCGTTTTCCTTTGTTGTGCTCCCTCCCTTTCCTCCTCTCCCCTTGTTATGCTGCTCTCTCCTTCCTATCGTTTTATTCTTCCACATCCTGTTCTGCGTTCGGCACACGCCTCCCCACCCTCCACCCCGTGTTATTCCACCCACTCTTCCCCTGGCCTCCCTTCCCTCACACACTCCCTCCCTTCCCCTCCCTATCCTCCCTCCCTCCCTTACCTCCCTCCTTCCCTCCCTTACCTCCCTCCTTCCTTTCCTTACCTCCCTCCCTCCCCTCCCCTCCCTTCCCTGACTCCCTTCCTTCCTCCCCCTCCCTCCTCTCCCTTCCTTCCTCCCCCTCCCTTCCTCCCCCTCCCTCCCTTACCTCCCTCCCTTACCTCCCTTCCTCCCCTTCCCTCCATTACTTCCCTCCCTCCCTCCCTCCCTCCCTTACCTCCCTCCTTCCCTCTCTTACCTCCTTCCCTCCCTCCCTTCCCCTCCCTTCCCTCACTCCCACCCTCCCTTCCCTCCCTCCCTTCCCCTCCCTTCCCTTCCCTCACTCCCACCCTCCCTTCCCTCCCTCCCTTCCCCTCCCTTCCCTCACTCCCTCCCTTCCCTCACTCCCTCCCTTCCCTCACTCCCTCCCTCCCCTTCCTTCCTTCCTCCCCTCCCTCCTCTCCCCCCTCCCCTTCCTTCCTTCCTCCCCTCCCTCCTCTCCCCCCTCCCCCCTCCCCCTTCCTCAGTCATCCCGCCCGCCCTGTGCACGCGGTTCCTTCCGCTTTTAGTGAATATTTTGTTCTGTTAGCAAACAGGTGGATTATGTGAGCTGTGTTGTCGTTCCTCTGCGTGAAGACTATGTAAATTCTTCAGGGATTTTGACCGATTCGTATGTGTGGGTATTCTAACTTTTTTTGTTGTAAATGTGGTGCTCCACTTTATTGCTTTTCTGTCTCGCTCTCTCTCTCGCTCTCTCGCTCTCTCGCTCTCTCGCTCTCTCTCGCTCTCTCTCGCTCTCTCTCTCTCTCTCTCTCTCTCTCTCTCTCTCTCTCTCTCTCTCTCCCTCTCTCTCCCTCTCTCTCCCTCTCTCTCCCTCTCTCTCCCTCTCTCTCCCTCTCTCTCCCTCTCTCTCCCTCTCTCTCCCTCTCTCTCCCTCTCTCTCCCTCTCTCTCCCTCTCTCTCTCTCTCCCCTCCCCCCTCCCTCCCTCCCTCTCCCCCCTCCCTCCCTCCCTCTCCCTCCCCCCTCCCTCCCTCCCTCTCCCTCCCCTAACGTTCGGCGGTGAGTGTGACAGAGCAACATTGGTATTTTCTCTAGCGTTCATATGTAAAAAAACAACATACTTATGCACATGCGCTCTCTCTCGTTTTATTTCCCAAATTAGATTACAAGTTGTCCATTTTTTCACGTTCTGCAATATACATTTTCTTTTATCGTACCTCCTTGCAAGTGAGACGCAATTGTACATCCGTGAGAGTACCGTGATTGGTCATTGACTACCAGTCAGATTCAATTGTGATATTCTTACCAAAGCTCTTTAGAAGCTTAAGGCTTTTACTGATATGGGTATAATAAGGTTTTTTTATGGCCGTTTCTTTTTATAGTAATAATAACTATTATCATTATTTAACTGTTATTTCTCACCCTTCATCAGTAGCGTGGGTATTTCCATGTTTATAATGAATTGATGTTAACGATAGATGAAAGAAAATTAGTGTTGAGTTTTGAATTGAGAACATTTTTGGAGGAATATACCAGTTTCTTGCAAGAATGAAAATGATCTCACCCTATCCCAGTGGGGGTGCAGTGCAAAACGCATTTATAAGTCCTCTCTATTCAAGCAAAGATACTCGATATTTCAATAATTTGTTTTTGTTTTTAATTTTGTCACGAATACCCCAACAGCTGAAAATCCTATCATGTGTTCGACTGATGCGAGAGAGATTTCAGATTTCAATTTTCAGATTCGTCAGTTTATTTGCCATAAGATTACATCAAGAAGGAGAATAACTACATATTACAGCGGTATCATTCGATTTCATTAAACACAAGTTTCCCAGTGAGCTCGCACAAATACTTTTAGCGTTGAGAGTTTATGATTTGAGATATTTATTCAGAATTCGAGACTTGAGTGGCGAAATTCCAGGATTTGTTTAACTTTTTTCCCTATTCCGGGAGTCTGTGGAGGGGGGTAGGGATATAGTGTTATTATTAAAAGGAAGTTTGGTTTCAAATTAGATTGTAGGACGTGCGTCTATCTTGAATCGACAATTGAAAATATTTTCTCTTTCTCTCTCTTTTCTCTCTCCTCTCCTCTCCTCTCTTTTCTCTCCTCTCTTTTCTCTCCTCTCCTCTCTTTTCTCTTCTTTCTTTTCTTTCCTCTTCTCTCTTTTCTTTCCTCTCCTCTCCTCTTCTCCTCTCTCCTCTCCTCTCTCCTCTCCCCTCCTCTCTCTTTTTCGTAGATATTTCGGGACCATTCATATTTATCTGGCAAACTGGGCATATGTTCCGATAGACTTTTTTGTTATCACTAATATAAATTTCCCAGCCTAGAATTTCACGATGATCAAGCTGGAACGAGTTGAGTGATTTTCATCTTTGTCGTTTTTCAGCCAAGCTTAAATTGACCGTATTCTTGACCGAGCGGATCGTTGAGCTCAGTTGAAATAGAACAAAGGACATTGGTCTATAGGCCTTGATTTTTTTTTCTTTCACTTTTTTGTATGTGTGTGAGAGGGGAGAGAGAGAGAGAGAGAGAGAGAGAGAGAGAGAGAGAGAGAGAGAGAGAGAGAGAGAGGGGGGGGGGTAGAGAGAAGGAGGGGGGGGGGGTAGAGAGAGAGATTTTCCCCATAACTTAACCCTTTCAGAAATGATACCATGGACATAATCGTATTCCCCCAGAATATCCATTGATAGAACATATGTGATAAAAAACACATAACATACGATAGGAAAAAAACGTGCACATTATATTTACTTGCCCTTGTAACACATCCTCAAGGCCCAATACCTTTTGACAGACAGCGGGTCACCGATGCCACCGTGAGGCACTCCCCAACTGGCACCATGCAGCGCCCTCAGGAGTTGCGGGAGGACGCCGAGAAGGACTTGGAGCATGAGTTTGAGATTCGCTTCTCATTCCACCATGACCTGCCTTCTCCTCTCCCCAGGGGCGTCTCCGCCTTCGTCTATAGTCCCTGGGCGTCAGGTAAGGGCAGTGGGACAGTTTCAGCGGCCTTCTCCTCCCGTCTTCTGTCTCTCTGTTTGTTTGTCTGTCTGTATGTATATCTGTCTGTTTGTATGTTTGTTTGTCTGTCTGTGTCTGTAAGTTTGTCTGTCTGTCTCTGTATGTTTGTCTGTCTGTCTCTGTATGTTTGTCTGCCTGTCTCTGTATGTTTGTCTGCCTGTCTCTGT